AAATGCACGTCTGGAAGGGCCCTGTCCCAGTTCTTCTGGTCAGGTTGTTTTTCAGTAGTAGAAAGTTCTTGGCTTCAGTGTTTCTCAGCAGCATCTTTAAATGCTGTGGGGGCAGATTCTGGTACCCAGGCACAACGTGAATGAAAGGCAGGCTGGAGGGAGAGTGATGTACCACCACCCTCCCTGCCCCAGCACAGAGCAGGCAAGCTGGGTGGGCTCAGAGGGGCAGCCACTGCAGTCAGGGGTGCTCTCAGGAGCTCGTGTTGCCCAGACTCCCTCCCTTGTGGTTTCAGGCTCTGCAGGGAGCCTGTCAGCAGCCGACTGTGGGTGTGTATGTCCCCTCTTCACCCTAACCCTTCCCCCGTGGGGAGTGCATTCAGGGCTGTGGTGTGTCACTCGTGGCTTAAAGAATTTGTGTCTCAACGAGTAGACAAGTCTGCCCCAGCCCTTGTCTAGCCTCTTCCTTCCCTCCTCTTCCCCTTTGCCCAGACTTGCATGCCCAAGGTGGATCCCATTCCCTGTGACTGGGAATATGGGAACTTCCTGACTCCATCCTCAGGTGGGGGACTCAGAGTACACAAACAGGCCAGATCTCATTGCTGTTCTCAGGGACGTGTTTGTGAGCTGAAACAATAACCCTGTAAAGATATATGTAGTGACAATATGTTGCTCTCCTCAAAATGGTAGAGCATGACTGGAAAATTTCTAAAAATATTTCTGCTGTCCTAGGGAAATGTGGCTCAGCTCCACTCCTTCATCGCAGAGATGGAGAGGATCTGCCTCTCAGAGCAGTTCCTCTTCTACAGAAATACTTTTTTTTTGGTCAAATTGGAAACCTCTAAGTAAGCTGGACTTCTTCTCCTGAAAGACTGCTCAGGTCTTCCCGGGGATCAGAGGCAAAGTGAGGGGCAGAGAAATCGGTGTGACCATGCTTTGAGGAACCTGGTCTATGTGAGGTGTCCCTGCCCATGGCAGGGGGTAGGAGCCACATTACCTCTGAGCTCCCTCCCTACCCAAACCTCGATGACTCTGTGATTCTATGCCAAAGGCTGGAGTTCTCCTGTGGAGTGCAGGAGAAGTCCTTCCTTCTTCAGAAGCAGTGTCATAGTTCAGGTCAGGGGGGCTCAGGAGATGGTTCCTCTTCACCTTTGTTTTGGTTTCTGTCATGGAGTGGGCCTGGACTGTCCTGCCCAGCTTGCTATGGGATGGCACAGCAGACCATCATGGCTTTCAGGCCATCACTCCACATGAGTGGCTTCCAGAGAAAATTGCCTGTGGTCCCCTTCCACCTTTATGCATTCCGATAGAAGAAACCAATTCGGCCAGCCCTCATTAAGTGCTGAGCCCTACATTCTTTACGCAAGCAAAAATGCTCTTCCTGTCTGTGGGGCTTAAAGTCATTTCGGGTTTACTTTTTGTGCCACTGGTCATAGGTGGAAATTTACTGATGAAACCACCTCCCCCAAAAGAGGACATATCAGTTTCCATGTTTCCTACAGTGGATCTGATGACCTTTTGCAAGAACAGAGCTGAACAAAAATTCAATTATGAGCTAAAAGAGGGTATTAGAGCTTACAAAGACATACAAAAGCAATGGGTGTGTACTTTTGGAAGGAATCTGTGCTGTATCTGTAAGGCTACCTCTTCACGTGATGTAGACTGCAAAATGCCACCAGAGGCATTTATTGTGAAAGTGGCAATCCCCAGAACTCGGCATATATAATTTTTTTCCATAGGGTCATATGATATGAGTACATGAATGCCTTCTAAGTCTTTCTAAGCATGAGGCAAGTGTGAGAGCAGTGAGGCAAGAAAGATGAAGCTCTAACAAGATTAATTTCAATGCAAGACAAAACACATTTGTTTGAAATGAAAAAAAACAACAAACCCAAACAAAAAAAACCAACCCACCTTGAAATAGGTTTCTCTTGGAATGCTGCTAAACATGACTTTATGAGCAATGCATGTTTGTCTGCTTGTCTGTTTAAAACACAAGTCTTTTTGCTGCTTGGGAGCTTCATTGGGGTTGTTGGTAGGTACATGACAAGTTTTCTGCAGGAGCTGGTACAAATACAGACAATAAATATTTAGAAAAGGACAGGTCTTAGTCTTGAGTGAAGGACTGTGAAAAAATAGACAGCTCCCTTTTTCATGCCTCTTCATCATTATAGAATCACAGAATGTTTTGGGTTAGAAGGGACGTTAGAGACCATCTAGTTCCAACCTGCCTACCATGGGTAGGGACATCTCCTACTAGTAAAGGTTGCTCAAAGATGATCCAAAGCTTCATCCAAACTTCAACACTTTCAGGGAGGGGGCATCCACAGCTTCTCTGGGTAACCTGTTCCAGTGTCTCACCACCCTCACAGTAAAGAATTTCTTCCTAATATCTAATATCTTCCTAATATCTAAACTAAATCTGCCCTTTTTCAGTTTAAAGGCATTTTCCCTTGTCCTGTCACTACACACTCTTGTAAAAAGTCTTTAGGTTCTAGAAGGCTGCTGTAAGGTCTCTCCAGATCCTTTTCTTCTTCAAGCAGAACAAGCCCTATAACTCTTGGTGCCCAATATAATCTTGCTTTCATGAAAGCAAAAAAGAGGTTTAGTTTCTCTTACAGCCAAACGTTATACAGAGTTTGAATCTAGGATCTAAGCAGTAGAAAGTTTGATTTGGTGAAAAGGTTGATTTCAACTTTTCATGCTTCCTAATGCTCCAGTCCACTTTGTGGGACTACTAGAGCCTTCTGCTTTTCCACCGTACTGGTGTAAGCTGGGAATTTTTTTTTCCTGTATTTTGGTTTAAAAATGTGTGCCAGTTGGCTGACTGCTCTGGTGAACTGAAACAAGCCCTACTATAGCTGGCCTGCCCAATTTGGTGAATTATTCAGTGGGAAAGGTTATTCATTCAGCAGAACTGAGCAGTCCTCCAGCTCATGCTGTTTATAATTGAAAATGATTTCTGAGTGAGTGAGTTAATTATTTCTTGCTGTCTCACTACCCTCTACCTATTTTAAAACTGTGTATTGACCTTCAGGAAAAAACTGAATTTCAGCCCTGTGGTTACTAGCAAATGTTGGATATTTTAGTTGGGGTGAATATTTACTGGTTTTCCTAGGAGGTTCAGACATAAATAAAAGTTTAGAGGACCTCCGGGTAAACATGTTCATGGTTCAGCACTTTAATGTGTCAATTAGCTAACTAACACTGTCAATAAATTGGACCTGTCAGAAATAATAGCTTCCTTTCCACTCTTCATCTCGTGCTTTACCTGTCTGCTACAAGAAATACATTACACACCACCTAAAGCAGCATAAGCCAAGTTTTCCATGCCTATAGCAAAAATTAGCAAAGCAAGGCTGCTGTCTTCGAACCTGAGTCTTGCACAAATCACTCTCTCTCACATTCCAACACGTGAGCCGTGTGAAAGTCACACTTATGTCACTGACTGTGTCTTTCTTGAGCAGGTGGGCTACAGAAGCCTTACAGTTGTAAATGAAAGAAGTCTGTCTGTGTGCCAGCAGAGGTAGATAAATACCAGTAGGTTGTGTTCACAGATGGGCAGCACAGCTCCCACATCAGCAGGCCTGCTAAAGTGGGGTGTTACGTGCTACAAAGTTCTTTGTTGCTCAAAGCTGTGAATCAGTGCAGGATTTAAAACATTGCTCAAGCAGGGGGTGGTCATCCTAGAGCTGATGTACCTTCGGCAGCGGCTAAAGGAGGTGGCACTGAGGGTAGCAGAAGGTGGCCAGGTGTCTGTGGTAGCCATCTGCATCCAAAGCCCTGCCTGCCAGACACAGACTTCTCCATCAGGAACGTATCCAGTCTCTGAGTCTCAGTAAACCCTTAGTGTCCACACATCCTGTAGAAAGGAATTCCACCGCTTCATTTTACAAACAAGCATACCTTTTGTTTTGAATTTGCTGCCTTCTGTTTTCATCAGATGTCCTCTAGTTCCTGCTTTAGTATATTGTTTTCTTACATATTAAAACTTTTATGCAGGGTTTGGTGGGGTTTTTTTGTTTATTTATTATTACATAAAATTTGGTGTAATAGGCAATGACAATGTGGTTTAGCTCTCAACATTTCCACCCACTGGAGATCAAAGCAAAAAGAATGAATGCCCTAATAGTGGGAGTTCATTTTCATTTTAAATGAGATGTAACAACAGGTTATGAAGAAAAACATCTTGTGATGGTTATTCAGCTGTGTAAGATTGCAGCGTTCCACCCCGTAAGCAGCGATATGAGATTATCACAGTCCTTCAATTACAAGATATTCTCGGAAGGGAGAAGAGGCCAAGCAGCCCATTTTCCCCTTGAAGGGTCCTGCCCTGGGATGTCCCTCTGGGAGCAGTCTAAGCCTAATTGTTTGTTGCTGAAGCCAGGTGCAAACTGTTTGTCCAGGTTTAAGTATGGCAGTGATTTGCTTTATGCCAAGGGACTACTGCTGTCCATGGAGCTGAGTGCGTGGCTGACTTCCTTGCAGAATGAGGCCCTGCTGGGCAGATCCAAATCAAATCAGTGGCACATCCAGGCAGGTCTAGGAAGGCTCAGGACCCCAGCCAGGGTCTCTGCTGCCAGCCTCACTGCCAGCCATATTGCACCTGCGACACAACCGGACTGATGTAAGACTTGCTTTGAGTGCACTGCACTTAAAGGGTGGCTCTGCAACTTATGATCTGATCAGACCACGTGGAGTTGCTGCTCTTCTAGACCTCATGGGTATAACCTCTGCAGATGCTATACTCAGTGCCATGGGATAATGTTTTGGAGCCCTGGGTGCCATAGTATGATTCTTATGAGCTGGGCATGGGTGATGATGCCCTGTGAAGGGCACACATCACCTGGAAGAACCCACTCAGTGGTAAAGTGATGCTGTTTCAGCCAAAGTCTGAGTCCACTTGCAATAGCGAGTGCCTGATGCTGCACAGAAGGAGGGAAAGTACAGCAAAACCTGTCATGGTCCCAGTTCTCATATTAGCCTTGCTCTTTCTCTCACAGGTTACATCCAGGCCTGCAGAGGATTGATGATCTCCGCTGTCTGCCTGGGCTTCTTCGGTGCCGTTTTTGGACTGGTTGGAATGAAATGTACAAAAGTTGGAGGCTCTGATCAGACTAAAGCAAAAATAGCTTGTTTAGCTGGACTGATTTTCATACTCTCTGGTAAATATACTTTATTTTTATCAGTTTGCATATTTGAAGTCATACCGGAGCCACTTCTTTTCCGCAGAAACCTGTGCACAGTCCTCCATGACTTCGTTGACTTCAGGGCCAGGCCCAAAGCTCTGCTGCCAGCTCCACTGAATGGTTTGTCTTATGCTTTTCAGGGCTGTGCTCTATGACTAGTTGTTCCCTGTATGCAAACAGGATTACGTCTGAGTTCTTTGACCCTTCTTTTGTTGCACAAAAGTAAGTACTTTCCTATACCCATAAATCTTTCAAACAAGTATTCCTTAGGTTTCCTACTGCACACCACAGCCTGTTTAGACAGAGAGCAGCTGCTTCTCCCCGTGGGCAGAGGAGGAGAGTGGGCTGCAGTTTTATTTAACCACAATTTCTAACTGGAGCAACCAGGTGCTGAAATTCAACAAGCAAACACTTTGCTGCACAGTGATGGCTCTGCAATCCGTGTGCCCAGAGCTGGCAGGGCTGCTGGGGTTAATTGGGAATGGAGCCTGCCTGGATGCCAGAGGTGCAGCAAAAGGATTGCACAAGACACAGGGGCTCATTAGGTGCATCATTTGATAGGGAAGGGAGGAAAGTATTTCCTGGAGCCTTCGGCAGAAGGTGGCTTTGATAAATGTGTTGAGCACCACGCAATCTTGATTCCTCTTGAGGAGAGGTTTCTGCAGGCTTGGTGGAATTTTGCTGGAAGATTTTCAAATCCAGGTGACTGAAATTTGGATCATAAACCTCATCAAAACCCATGATCTTTTAAGCATTGACATAAATACTTTGCCTATACCTGTAATTAAATTTAAGAGAGTGAGTATTTATAGAATTTTAGGATCCACACCAGAGATAATGAGCATCCCTGAAGACTTCCTTTAAAGCTGTGCAAATTCTCAGGACCTGCAAAAGCAACAATCCACAAACCAACGCTTGGATTTTGGATTGACATTCTTAACTACCAGGTCTGAAAATGTTGGCTGTAAATTATACCATCAGAGACTTTCATGTTTTGCTTTAATACATGGTGTAAACTCTTTTTTTAAAGGCAAGGATTTTAAAGTTTTCTTGGCAGTGATTCCAGAATATGCCAAACATTGGGTGTACATTTCCCTGGGACCCAAGTAAGGGATCAGTAAGGAGCCCTGACCCTTTATGTTTCACTTTGACAGAAAGAAAATAGTCTGAATAAATAACACTAAAGGGATCTACATTTGCAGTAGGGTTGACACTGCTTTTCCTGAAACAGTATTAGTTTTGTATTAGTAGTCTTGTATTAGTTTTCTCCATAATTCCCCTATAGTTTCTGTTTATTTGATGTAGAGAAGACAGGCTTGAAAGGCCACCAAAAGAAAGGAGGATGTGAGGTTCTTGGAAGAAAATGGAGCCTGGCTATATAGACAGAAGTTAATTATTCATCAGGCTTACTGTTCTTAGTGAAAAATACCATGATTGCTGCCAGAAGTCCTTTTCCTACACTGTATTCCTACCCTTGTCTGCTGCAAAAGAGCAGGCAGACCTTAGGGTGGAATTTTACTGTGAAGGAATGAGAAATCCAGTTTAAATATTGAAATAACGATAGTAAAATATCCTCTTCAGAAATTACCTGTGTTTTGTGGGACAACCAGCATAGCTCAGCTGCAGACAGACATAATCATGATTGCAAAGATAAAGACAGGGAGGAAATACTGAAATTTTAATTTGAGCTGTGCACAATGCACGTAGCTCATGCAGTAACCTTGCATCAGACTGAGCTAATGGTGGCATTCAGCTTCTTCCTCTCTCAACTGATGCAAAATTTCCATTTTGTTGCCATCTCCGAACCCTTACTTTTTTATGTATTGTGGGCACATTTAAAATGTTTGCTGGTATATTGTGGAAATTTGGAATTGTCTCTTCACTGAGAGAGGGTTCCAACCTTTTCCTACGCATTTCCCTCCTGAAGTTATTCTGGCAGTGTCAAAGACAGGCTTGAGATACTGTTAGTGGGAAACAAATGGCACAAGATATTCAGCACCTAGTGTCAACCATCAGGATTTCCCTCCAGCCTTCTTTACTATCTTTAATTTAAATTATCTGACTAACTTCCCATATAGGCATTGATATGCAATTGAAAATCTTCAGTTTTCCTCCTAAGTACCAATATAAATCAGAAAGGTTGTTCTCTCTGTTTGAAGATGTGGAAGAAAGACCTATCAGGACAGCTCTGCAACTCATTAACCTGGCAGTGTGGCAGTCCCCCAAGCAGGGCCATACTGTTTAATCATGGTATAGTAACAAGTGTTGCTTCAAAAGGTCAAATAATGCCAACTACAAAGGCCATGTCTTCTGTCCCAGCTAGTAGGTAACACTCAGGTACCCCTTTTCTACCCAGTTATATCAAATATAGCCAGGATTTCTTTTCTGTACAATTGAAGAATTTCAGGAAGGGAAGATAGTGTCTGGTCTCCTTAAATCCCTCAGCCTCTGGTCAACCATTTTGTGTGGTTAGATAAAAACATGGAAGCTTGTGTTTCCCACTTTCTGGGCAAATGGTCTTGGCAAATAAGTTGTTACTGCAACAGCCATCCTGGATCTTGGTCCAGCTCTTTTCTCCAGCAGTGTGGTGATCTGCATCAACTTCTGTGGGGAGCCTAGTCCTGGTCCTTGTACCTTAGGTGTGCTCTGGCAGTCCTGGAGGGATCTCCATGAGGGGGCTTTCCTCACATCTGAGCTAGTCCCTCTGATCTGCTTTTACAGATCAATGAAAGAAATGCCTTGAAAGTATTTTACAAGTGCACTTTGTTTGTATTTCTTGCATGTTGAATATAATGGGATCTTAAGTGATGAGCTCCGATGTAGATCTCTGTTTCTAATCAGAGAAACCCCCATCCTCGGAGAGACACAAATCTCCCTGAGTCATGTGAAAACTCTAGCAAGGTTGTTGGAAATGTGAGCATAAGTAGAATTAAAACCTTACAGGTCTGACAGATTTTAAAGTGAAACAGGAGTTTTCCAGGGAGGAAGGAGCTATGGTTCCCAGCAGTTTAAATTGCGGGTTAGGTCTGTAAGCTCCATGCTGGTGTTGAGGAAGGGTTCTGAGGCAGAGTCACTTTATTTCAGCTTGAGCTTGGTGTCTCCAGAGAGGGAGCCTGAGCAAAGAAATCCCTGGGTCTTTATCCCCTCACAGTCTGCGCACCTGATCCTCATGGGCTCTTCACGGATCTTGCGTGTGCCTCCTGGTCCAGTGATGATTTATGGTCTGGAATCTTCTAACACCTCACTGGATTGTTTTTGTGTGTTTCTCCAGTGCCCTTTTGTAAAGATACAAGTTTTTCAGAACAGCTGACAGGTATTTTCAGTTAGATATTTTGGTAATGTGGAATTAGGGCCTGTGCACATGGAAGTGTTCACAACTAACTGAGAAGTGCAGCTACACAGTGTTGCAGTTGCAGGCAGGCTGTCAAGCAGGGGCTTTTATTTGGCTGCCTCACCACAGTTTACAACAAATCAATTTAGTAGCATCTGCTTGAATGCACAGACTCCTGGTTGGTAACTGTGGCTGGAGCAGGGCCTGTGTTTCCGTGCAGGATCCCAGAAGTCTGGAGAAGATAAATGTCTCCTTAAGGAGAAACTGCAGCAGAGAAAGAGCAAGAGACACACAAGTGTTTTCTAAAGGTGAGGAATAGGAGACTCTGGAGACTGTTGGCCTGCAACCTAATGCAGGTCATCCTTAACATGCTTTAAGAGTGGTACTCAGGCAGAGAGCTGGGGAGTGGAGCAGACAAGGAGCATCCATGGTTTGCTGCTTGTCTTGAAGCTTCAGCACTGAGGGGAAAGAAAAGAATCTCTTCCCAATGCCATTCCTTCCCTTCATTTACTACTGTTGATTTAGAAATGTGGACTTAGTGGGAAAATGCTCCTGAAGCACCCCTGTCTCCTCTCAGAGACAAACAAAGCAGTTCCTGGCAGCAGACAGTTTGCAGCTGGCTGAGGCAGCAGAGGGAACCATTGCTGGTGACGGAGAACTCTGCCCATGGAGCTGCTGGGAGCAGTTTCTTCCAGATGGAATCCAGCCACAGGGACTAGAGAAGGAGAAAGATGCTGGAACATGCACCTGTGTGTGCAAGTGCTTACACCAGACACACCTGTGTATGTATATGCATATATTGCATATATAAACATTGCATGTGTATCCATATGTATATTATGCATATGTACAAACCCTCATGTTTTAAGTAGGCTGGTGTGTGGATGATGAGGGATGGAGGCAGACAGATCCTGAGAGCCAGAGGGGAAACTTAAGGAGAGTTGTAGGCAGAATTTGTAGTCTCTGGCCCAGCAAAAGCCCCAGTCCAGTTAGGTTTGGGAACCAACAGGAAAAAAACTGAAATGGAGGAGCTGGAGCTGTAAAGAGGCCACAGAATGACATAACCCCAGAGCAAAGCAATCCAGGAGGAGATGCACAAAGGCCAGACCTAACCCTAAACTTAACCCCAGTTGAGCAGGGAGAGAAGCACTGCCCAGCTGTACTGCAGGGAGAGAGTTTGCCTTCTGAGTCAGAAGGAAATAATGAAAAGAACGTTGGTGAATGGCAGAGCTGCTGATTTTGTGGTGAATAATTTATGTGTCAATGGACAGTTATTAAAGAAAAATACGGTATTTAGTTATTTTATTCTGGAAATAACCCTCTTAAATCCATGCTCTCTTTTGTTAAATACATTTATTGGCTTCTTGTAGGTATGAATTAGGAGCAGCTTTGTTCATTGGATGGGCTGGAGCATCACTCTGCATAATTGGTGGCATTATATTCTGCTTCTCAATAGCTGAAAACAGTAATGCTGCAAGGTAAAACACAAGCTTTACTTAGTGAAAGAAATCAATACCTCTGCATTTTTATCTGCTATATGTATGCAGTTTGATTACTGTTTCAAAACACTTTGTAATGAGATTCTGAAAAAGATTATGTGGATAAAAGAAAGTTAAGGGGATGTAAGGCTAATGCTTTGTCCACTATTAAAGAAAAGCTATTGGCTCAGAACAAATACTTGTGATATATATATATATATATATATATATATATATGTTTCATAAATTTACTACAGCTGCAAAACAGTGCATTCACTGATGTAGGAAAAGTGGTCAGGTGGCTTTACAGGCACGAATAGACAAGTTTCTTTGATGTCAAATCATCAGAGCTAGTGGTGGTGACAGTGGGACCTCCAGCAGCTGAAGAGGGGTGATAACAAAGAGGAACAGCTGTAGAGAATAACTATTCACCTAGGGTCTACCACAATTTAAATTAGTTCATCATTAGGCCCTAATTTACTTAGCTGTGAAGGATAGATATGTGTTACAGGAAAGTGTAAAACAGATGCAAAGAGATAGCTGGAGTGGCAATGTTTAACTAGAATGGGACCACACAGAGTAGGAATGTGCCACCTTCCCTGAAATTTGTAGGTACATTCCCTACAAATACATTTCTTCTGGCTTTATTACTAGAATGCCTGGATGCAGAGATGCCACCTGTCTGTGGGAAGCGCTGTAAATGGTTGTTTTTTTCTCTTCAGGAGGGGGTATGCCTATAATGGAGCCACATCTGTGATGTCTTCTCGCACAAAGGTGCACAACAGCGTCCCTGACAAAAGCCCACCCAAGCACTTTGACAAGAACGCCTATGTTTAGTTGCACTGTTTGAAGACTCAAAGTGTTTTTAAACGTGATTTTGTATGTTTCATTCAGAGTGATTCCCCCCACCCTAAGCCCCATGTACTTACCACTAAGACAATGACTTTTAAAAATATTAACTTGCAGCTTTTTACATATTGATGTAAATTTTATTATATAATATTTTAAGATTCATGTTGGTATTGTAAAGTTTATACCTGGAAATCATGAGCTGATGTTGTATTCTTGAAAAAAAATAAACGAGGTATTTACTAATTCAGTTTGTCATGTCAGCTGCTTATGGGAATGGCATCATACACACTGTATTGGCATACTGCAGTTCAAAAATTCAGCTAATGTTTTTTCTTTGTCTGTCCATGGAAATGTGATGACTTTTGAGGGAGTATTTGTACAAGTCAATAAATGAGAACAGAGATTACAAATGGTCACAAAATGCTTTCTAGATTGAGTCCCTAAAATCAGACACAAACTCAGGTTTTTTGTGAAGTTTAAACTGATGGACTGGTGGAATTTCAATAAAAGTTGGTTATTTTGGGACAACTGTGTAAATATAAAAAATGAACAGTCCTATTTAATAATGGCACAGTATAGAAAAAGTTTTGTATCTGATATTATCTAAATTACATTCAAACTACAAAGTCAAGGTTCTTTTTGTTTTATGTTATTTTTGTACTTCATTTAAGTAGAAACACTACTGTGTTTTTTTAAAGAAGGCAGCCAATATGGACAAAGCAGAAATGTCAAGTACTTCTGCCATGGCAGGTTAGTGCTTTCATTACTGTGGCTTGACACTTTTTCCTTTGTTGTTGTTGTCCTTTTATGCTAACAAAGACTGAATTCCAATACAAAAAAAACCCACAACAAACCAACTTCCCCATATAGGAGGCATTTAATGATGATCAGTTTTAGAGCTCAGGCTTTTTTCTTTTCATTTAGTGTTTATTGTAAACCATGGTAGAAACGTAATAGTTTAATACATGGACATATTTTCTTTAAAATGTTGACAATTTTATATAAAGTTCATGATAAAATATAAAAAATATGCATTAAAGATTGTATAAAGAAATACTCTGCAGTATATTCTGTTCATTGGTTTCTTGCAAGACCAGTTTCAATCTTTAATGTAAACATTAGAGGCAAAATCTTCACCTCAGAGAAATGAAAGAGACTTTCACCACTGAACTCATGAGTGTGCTGGTTTTGGCTGGGGTAGAGGTAATTTTCTTCACCGTGGCTGGTATGGGGCTGTGTCTTGGATTTGTGCTGGACACAGAGTTGGTAACAGAGATGTTTTTGGTATTGCCGAGCAGGGCTTGCACAGAGCCTTTTCTGTTTTTCATACCACCACATCAGTGAGGACTGGGGGTGCACAGGAGGTTTGGAGGGGACACAGGTGGGACAGGTGACTCGAACTGACCAAAGGGATATTCCAGACCATGTGACATCATGCACAGTATATACAGTGGGGGGAAAAGGAGGAAGAGGAAGAATTTGTATTGTCTTTTGTCTTCCCAAGTCACCATTACATTTGATGGGGGCCTGTTCTCCTGGGATGGCTGAACACCTGTCTGCCCATGGGAGCAGTGAATTAATTCCTTGTTTTGCTTTGCTTGTGTGTGTGGCTTTTGCTTTTCCTATCAAACTGCCTTGATCTCAACCCACGAGTTTTCTCACTTTTACTTTCAAGTCTCTCCCCAGTTCCACAGGTGAGGGAGTGAGTGAGTGGCTGCGTGGGGCTTGGCTGGGGTTAAACTGCCACAAAAAGAAAAAATTACTTTGTTTCCAAAGAGACATGGCCACTAATGCATATTTCAATATTCTTTTTCAGAGTCAGACTGAAAGACACAAGAGCTCTGTAAACAGTATTCCTTGTTATTACAGGACCAATTAGAGAAGTTACTGGGAAACATTTGATGTTTTCACCTGCATTTTGAATCCCAGCAGAACCCAAAAGCAGGACCTCCAATCAATCAGGAATGGAACAATTATATGTCTGAAGAATCACTCCAGTCTGTTACAGTGACTAAGCTGCTTTTTAACGTGCTTGTATTGTCAGCTTCATGAAGGCCTTTTAAAACAAACAGACAGAACAATTAATAGTTATTAATACTCTTTTGGGGATATTTTTACTTTGCATTTGTCTATAAAATAAAATGACATGCTATGTGAGCAAATACCTTTGAGCTTCAGGAAGCCCCAAATTGCAATCAGTAAGCAAATGACAAGAGTTGATAATATGTAGATTGTTTCTCTCACAGAAGACAAGGCACAGTACAAGCAGTCAGTGCCAACCTTACCTTCCCTTCAAAAATAACCAGAAGTATCCTTATGTAACTGACACAGCTTTAACCTTTACATACATTGAAATGTTAGGGTTAAAAATTACTATATAAATTATATATAAGATTGAGGCTTTTGCTTTGCACTAGTTCAAATATTTATCTCAGCCTGGTTAGTCAGTTAGATTGTTTGAACAAACCTGACATGTTATTATTCTCAAGACAAAGTGAGTTCCCTTCTCTCTTAAATTTGGGAAGAAAAAACCCTCAGATGATTAATTTTTAAGATGACGTTGAAGTCTGATAATATTATGGTTTAAAATCTCAAATTTGTATCTCTGTGTATTTATGTGTGTGTGTGGTATATGTACCACTAAGTATCATAAAAACATTACATAGCAAGAAACCAAACACAAAGGTTCTCTTGTTCTTTTCTTACAAAACACCATCTATTGAATTACAATGTGTAATAGACCGTACTGAATCCTCCTCTAGGTGGATCAGTCTCTTATGAACACGTTACCTTCCTCCTTTGGTGCACTCTTCTTGGGAAGGCCCCATGCATGAACCACAGATGCAGCACTGGGCTCGTTTTTCTGAACTGTCATTGCCTTCTGAGCTCTGTTCTCTTTCATCAATAAAATGTCTTCTTCTACTGATGAAATATCCCAATCATCTTCATCGGCTTCTGCGAGCTAACAGGGACAAGAAGAAACAGGCATTTTTCCTTTGTCTGTTCAAGCTGTGCTGAGTTCTTTCCTAAACTCAACAATGTGAAACTGCTCAAGGAGAATGCACTGGCATGTGACCTTTACGAAATCTATCATCACAGTTTTGAAATCTACATTAATTCAATTACCTAAATGATATTAATGCACTGTTATCATTCTGAAACTAAAAGAGGCTTGGGTGTTTCGTTTTTTTTTTAAGTCAGAAACTGCAAACATTTTAAGTTCTGCCAGTTCTGTATTTGGCATAAACCTCTGTTTTCAGGTATTATATGCCAGCCTTAAAATAGGATTATTTTTTCTGGGATATTCCAGTGAGATGAAAGTCATTTAAGCATTAGAATGTAGACTACTTACATGAAAACAAAGATATGACATGCAAGGTGGCAGTTTATAAGCATTCTGCAGTCAAACTAGGAAAAAATATTGCAGTAAAGGCCTTTTCAATTTAAACCTAATTTATTTAAAGATAAAATTAAATAATGAACATTTTAAAAATTGCATGGTGCTCAAACTTTAAATACACATTCCCCTCAAGGCTCAGTGTCAGCATGTACAAGCATATTTTAATTAAGTAGTGGATTTGTATACTAAGTTCACAAAATGAGAGTTAATTCAGACAGATGAACCTGAAGGCAATGAGTCCATGGTCCCCATTACCTCATCTGCCTGAAAACTGAGTATCTTCATTCAGCTTTAGCAAGAAGAGCTACAGCATTTCCCTATTTTTCAGTCAAATGTGGTTCGATGGATTTGAGCTGTTTTTAGAGAGCTTAACTGTGGAAAGCAAACAATGTTTTCTCCCAAAGCTAAAACCTTATTTCACTGGAGTCTCCAGTATTACAGTAAGGATCTAGACGGTGCTTCCATTGCACAGAAGGAAGGTTCAGATGCTATTAGAAAGCAATGTAAGGTATGTATACGCTGGAGAAAAATCAACAAATATGAACATGTCGTGTGTCTCAAAAGTGGGTAAGAGACTCCAGTACTGCTTATTTTGCAACATAACTCCAGTTTAACATTGCAAACTGTTTTTCAAAAACTGACAGATCTGCTCAGTGTGCTGTATTATTAACATACCAGAATTCACTATTGCGCTGTTTCAAATTATCTGCGTTTGGAGGGTGTGGTAATGGGAAAGTCAGTCACATATATTGAGAAATGCTGGAGGAAGAGTTTCCTCGAACATTCAAGAAGTCCCAAACGATTGTTAAAGTAAAAAATGGAGATAAACATGTCAACTTCCAACAGAATTCAGTTTTGATCAAGTGTAAATACATGGCACCAATCAAAACTGCTAAACAGTTTTATTTACTCAAAGACTTATATAAAGACATCTACATTAAATATATAAATATGGGCATAAATATATGCATATAATTACCAAAGTATACAAGATGGTTCTTCTGTAAAGACTGCAGAAAAAAAGCAGCAGTGCCTGCCCTGGTTTCATAAGTATGGTATTCTGAACTCATGGTGTCCATACAGGATACATCAGGGACACAATGTATTCTAAATGAATCATAGCAACAATATTTTTCATAAACTGATGGAAAGATGTGGGTTGGAAGAGATTTCAAAGATCATGCAGTTGAACTCCCCCATTATAGCCAGGAAAATCTTCCACTAGACCAGGTTGCTCAAAACCCCCTCCAACCTGACCTTGAACACTTCCAGGGATAGGGCATCCACAGTTTCTTTGGGTAACCTGTTCAGTGCCTCACCACCCTCACAGTAAAGAATTTCTTCCCAATATCTAATCAAAACCTACTGGCTTCTCATTATAGTCTAATTTTCTGTCTGTTCCATGATCTCTCTGGGCACAGAAGTAAGATTAACAGGCCAGTAGTTAATTCCACGGTTCTTCTTCTGACTTTTTTTTTTTTTTAATGGATTTATTTTCCTCTTTTCAAGGAGAGACTACACTCAGCTGCGATGACTTTTCAATTATTATGGAAGAATGGCTTGGCAACTATAACAACCAATTTCCTCAGGGCCCTGGGAAGAATCTCACTGGGTCCCATGGATTTATATAAGTTCAGGCTACTCTGGGGGTCTCAAAC